GCAAACAGCTGACTCATTGGAAAAGCCCCTGATGCTGGGAAAGATTGAGAGCAGAAGGAAAAGAGGGCATCAGAGGATGACATGGCTGGATGGCATCACCAATGCAATGGACATGAATGTGGGCAAACTTCAAGAGATGGTGTGGTTCCTGGGGTTGCTGGATGTGGGGCTCAGGCTCTCCCAGAGCCAGCCCACTGGTAGATAGGGTCCGGTCCCAACTTGACTGGATGTATGGTCCTGGAGGATCCAGAGATAGTGCTGACCCATTGGTTTGTGTTGCTGGGTGCTGGGTCATATGGTGGGCAGCACTGAGTCCCAGGGTGGGTGGAGGTCTTGCTGGGGGTGGGGGACTGTGGCTGCTGCCAGCCTGCCGATGGGTGGGTTTGTGTCGCTGTGAGGATGGCTGGAAAGTCGCGAGAATTGTGAAGACAAGCCAGAGTTGGCACTGGATTCTGATACTAGTAAGCTAAAAGGAGAACTCCAAAATGGCACTTGCTAGCACCAGTGTCTTCATGGTAGAATGAGCTTCCAAAAATGACTACTGCCAGCATGTGTGTGCCCAGCATGAGTCCACATTTTCTCCTGCCCTCTCTGAGAAGCTTTCTAAAATCAGTAACTGAGTCTGCTCCAGGCTCCTTTGAATTACTGCTTCTGCCATAGATCTCAGAGCATGTGAGGCTTGTGTGTACACTATAAGAGCAGAGTCTCCCTTTCCTACATCCTTCTGGCTCACCAAAAAGCAAATCCCACTGGCTTTTGAAGCCAGACATTGGGGGAGCTCATATTCCCAATGCAGAACCCCTTGGCTAGGGAGCCTGATGTGGAGCTTAAACACTTCAGCCCTTGGAGAGAACCTTTGAAATTGTGATTATGCTCCTGCTTGTGGGTTATCTACCAGGAAATGTGGATCTTGACTGTACTATATTTCTGCCTTGCCTGTCAGTCTTGTTGTGGTTCCTTCTTTATATTTTTAGTTGTAGATATGTTCTGCTAGATTTCAGGCTTTCTCATCAATGACTGCTCTGTAAGTAGTTGTAATTTTGGCATTTCCATGGTAGGATATGTACTGAGGGTCTTCCTACTTGCATCTTGGTCAGTCCCCTATTGACCTCTTTTACATTAAGCAGATTTTGTTTAGTGTTAACAATTTAGTCACAAACAATTTTAACTACATTTTGAGTAATTTGTATTAGATATTACTTTCTCAAGGATACACATCTTAACTTATAAGAGTCTACTTCACGTTTATACTGACTAAATGCAATTCCCAAGTAAGACAGTAGGCGCTGAGAGAGGGCATCAGAGGGCAGACAGATTGAAACTACAAACACAGAAAACTAGCCAATCTGATCACATGGTCCACAGCCTTGTCTAACTCAGTGAAACTAAGCCATGCAATTTGGGGCCACCCAATATGGACAGGTCATGGAGAAGAGGTCTGACAGAATGTGGTCCACTGGAGAAGGGAATGGCAAACTACTTTGGTATTCTTGCCTTGAGAACCTCATGAACAGTATGAAAAACCAAAAAGATAGGACACTGAAAGATGAACTCCCTAGGTCGGTACGTGCCCAATATGCTACTGAAGATCAGTGGAGAAATAACTCCAGAAAGAATGAACGGATGGAGCCAAAGCAAAAGCAACACCCACTTGTGGATGTGACTGGCAATAGAAGCAAGGTCCAATGCTGTAAACAGCAATATTGCATAGGAACCTGGAATGTTAGGTCCATGAATCAAGGCAAATTTGAAAGTGGTCAAACAAGAGATGGCAAGAGTGATCGTTGACATTCTATGAATCAGCGAACTAAAATGGACTGGAATGGGTGAATTTAACTCAGATGACCATTATATCTACTACTGTGGGCAGGAATCCCTTAGAAGAAATGGAGTAGCCATCATAGTCAACAAAAGAGTCTGAAATGCAGTACTTGGAGGCAATCTCAAAAACGACAGAATGATTTCTGTTCGTTTCCAAGGCAAACCATTCAATATCACGGTAATTCAAGACTACACCCCAGCCAGTAATGCTGAAGAGGCTGAAGTTGAATGGTTCTATGAAGACCTACAAGACCTTTTAGAACTAGCATCCAAAAAAGATGTCCTTTTCATGATAGGGGACTGGAATGCAAAAGTAGGAAGTTAAGAAACACCTGGAGTAATAAGCAAATTTGGCCTTGGAGTACAGCATGAAGCAGGGCAAAGGCTAATAGAGTTCTGCCAAGAGAATGTACTGGTCATAGCAAACACCCTCTTCCAACAACACAAGAGAAGACTCTAAACATGGACATTGCCAGATGGCCAACACTGAAATCAGATTGATTATATTCTTTGCAGCCAAAGATGGAGAAGCTCTACACAGTCAGCAAAAACAAGACCGGGAGCTGACTGTGGATCAGATCATGAACTCCTTATTGCAAAATTCAGACTTAAATTGAAGAAAGTGGGCAAAACCCCGACACCATTCAGGTATGGCCTAAATCAAATCCCTTATGATTATACAGTGGAAGTGAGAAATAGATTTAAGAGACTAGATCTGATAGAGTACCTGATGAACTATGGATGGAGGTTCGTGACAATGTACAGGAGATAGGGATCAAGACCATCCCCAAGAAAAAGAAATACAAAAAAGCAAAATGGCTGTCTGACGAGGCTTTACAAATAGCTGTGAAAAGAAGAGGATCAACAAGCAAAGGAGAAAAGGAAAGATATATCCGTTTGAATGCAGAGTTCCAAAGACTAGCAAGGAGAGATAAGAAAGCCTTCCTCAGCGATCAATGACAAGAAACAGGAAAATAACAGAATGGTTCCAAATAGGAAAAGGAGTATGTCAAGTCTGTATATTGTCACCCTGCTTATTTAACTTATATGCAGAGTACATCATGAGAAACGCTGGGCTGGAAGAAGCACAGCTGGAATCAAGATTGCTGGGAGAAATATCAATAAACTCAGATATGTAGATGACACCACCCTTATGGCAGAAAGTGAAGAAGAACTAAAGAGCTTCTTGATGAAAGTGAAAGAGGACAGTGAAAAAGTTGGCTTGAAGCTCAACATTTGGAAAACAAAGATCATGGCATCCAGTCCCATCACTTCATTGCAAATAGATGGGGAAACAGTCAAAACAGTGGCTGACTTTATATTTTGGATTCCAAAATCACAGCAGATGATGATTGCATCCATGAAATTAATGGATTCTTTCTCCTCGGAAGGAAAGTCATGACCAACCTAGACAGCATACTAAAAAGCAGAGACATTAATTTATCAACAAGAGTTCCATCTAGTCAAGGCTATGGTTTTTCCAGTAGTCATGTATGGATGTGAGAGTTGGACTCTAAAGAAAGTTGAGTGCTGAAGAATTTATGCTTTTGAACTGTGGTGTTGGAGAAGACTCTTGAGAGTCCCTTGGACTGCAAGGAGATCCAACCAGTCCATCCTAAAGGAGAGCAGCCCTGAGTATTCATTGGAAGGACTGATGTTGAAGCTGAAACTCCAATACTTTGGCCACCTGATGTGAGGAGCTGACTCATTTGAGAATACCTTGTTGCTGGGAAAGATTTGAGGGCAGGAGGAGAAGGGGACAACAGAGGATGAGATCTTGGATGACATCACTGACTCAAGGGACATGAAATTGGGTAGATTCCAGGTGTGGGTGTTGGACACCAAGGCCTGGTGTGCTGTGGTTCATGGGGTCACAAAGAGTCGGACATGACTGAGCGACTGAACTGAACTGAACTGAATGTAATTCCTATAATGGGGCTTCCTTTACGGCTCAGCAGTGAAGAATCCTTCTGCCAACTGAGGATATGCAGGTTCGATCCCTGTGTTGGGAAGATCCCCCGGAGAAGGAAATGGCAATCTAATTAGTATTCTTGCCTGGAAAATCCCATGGTCAAAGGAACCCGGTGGGCTATAGTCTTTGGGATTTCAAAGAGTTAGACACTACTTAGGGACTGAAAAACAACAATTTCCTATAATATATGGAAATTTTATTAGCCCCATTTCCTCCTTAAATTTTGTACTATTATTATCATATATAATACATTTATATTTTTACAAACTGAAAATATAATTATAAATATTTGTTTATATAATATATATATTTTAAGAAAGCTAAAGAAGTAAAAGCACATATATGTGTTTATAGTTTGTTATGGGGATTTTCTTATTTACCCTTTCTATTTCCCTTTTTTTCTTCTATCTAGTGTCAGTTTACTTCAGCATAGCTTTGTTCCTGTCCCCCTTCTTAATAATATTATTATCAAATATATTATATTTCTCTGTTATTACTCAGTAATATACTCATATATATTTTGTGTTACACAGTTGCTTTTTAAATCAATCAGGAAAAGATAGGAAAAAAATCTGTGTAATTATACCATATTTTATAATGAAAGGTTGTTGCTAAACCATGAAAGATGCCGTGATTCTTGGCCTCTGGAGAGAAAAATTCAATCTCGAGCCAGAGACAGGCTTGATCACTCAGAGCTTTTGTGTAATAAGTTTTATTAAAGTATAAAAGAGATAGAGAAAGCTTCTGACATAGACATCAGAAGGGGATAGAAAGAAATACCCCCTTGCTAGTGTTAGCAATGGAGTTATATACCTTTTAATTAGTTCTTACAGTGAATCAAAAGAATGTCTCTAGGTTGTAAAGATTTTACTAGGGCTGCGCCTGCGGAGAAGCGGTGGCCGCCGAGCGGGATCCGTGCGGGAAGCCGGAAATGGTTGTGGACTACGTCTGTGCGGCTGCGTGGAGCTCGGCCGCGCGGACTGAAGGAGACTGAAGGCCCTTGGATGCCCAGAACCTGTTGGCCGCACCGTGGATTTGTTCTTAACCGAGGGGGTGCTGGGGGGACCCTGATGTGGCACCAAATGAAATGAACAAAGCTCCACAGCCCACAGGCCCCCCACCTGCCCCATCCCCTGGACTCCCACAGCCAGCGTTTCCCCCGGGGCAGACAGCACCGGTGGTGTTCAGTACGCCTCAAGCGACACAAATGAACACGCCTTCTCAGCCCCGCCAGCACTTCTACCCTAGCCGGGCCCAGCCCCCGAGCAGTGCAGCCTCCCGAGTGCAGAGTGCAGCCCCTGCCCGCCCTGGCCCAGCTGCCCATGTCTACCCTGCTGGATCCCAAGTAATGATGATCCCTTCCCAGATCTCCTACCCAGCCTCCCAGGGGGCCTACTACATCCCTGGACAGGGCCGTTCCACATATGTTGTCCCGACACAGCAGTATTCTGTGCAGCCGGGAGCCCCAAGCTTCTACCCAGGTGCAAGCCCTACAGAGTTTGGGACCTACGCTGGCGCTTACTACCCAGCCCAGGGTGTGCAGCAGTTTCCCACTGGTGTGGCTCCCCCACCTGTTTTGATGAACCAGCCACCCCAGATTGCTCCCAAGAGGGAGCGGAAGACAATCCGAATTCGAGACCCAAACCAAGGAGGGAAGGATATCACAGAGGAGATCATGTCTGGGGCCCGAACTGCCTCCACACCCACCCCTCCCCAGACGGGAGGCGGTCTGGAGCCTCAGGCTAATGGGGAGACACCCCAGGTTGCTGTCGTCGTCCGGCCAGATGACCGGTCGCAGGGAGCAATCATTGGGGAGCGGCCAGGACTACCTGGCCCAGAGCACAGCCCTTCAGAATCCCAGCCTTCATCACCTTCTCAAACCCCATCACCACCCCCAGTCTTGGAACCGGGATCTGAGCCTAATCTCACAGTCCTGTCTGTTACTGGGGACACGATGACAATGGGGATGATACAGACGTCTGTAGAAGAATCAACCCCCACGCCCCCTGAAACTGGGGAGCCATATTGCCTCTCTCCAGAACCCACTCCCCTCGCTGAACCCATATTGGAAGTAGAAGTGACGCTGAGCAAACCAGTTCCAGAGTCTGAGTTCTCTTCCAGTCCTCTCCAGGTTCCCAGCCCCCTGGCATCTCACAAGGTGGAAATTCTTCCTGAGCCTAATGGCGCGGTCCCATCTGAGAATTTGGAACCAGAGGTGGAGTCAAGCCCAGAGCTTGCCCCTCTCCCTGCTCCGGCTTGTCCCTCTGAATTCCCCATGCCTGTTGCTCCAACTGCCCAACCTGAGGAACTACTCAACGGAGCCCCTTCACCACCAGCTGTGGACTTAAACACAGTCAGTGAACTAGAGGAACAGGCCAAGGAGGCTACAGTGTCGGTGACTCCCCCCACTGTCCTTTCTGCTACCCCAGCTCTGGCTCCTCCAGTGGCTTCCCCTGCTCAGGAGGAGGACATGCAGGAGGAGGAAGAAGAGGAAGAGGAAGGAGAAGCTGAGGGTGAGAAGGGAGGAGAGGAACCTCTCCCCCCAGAGAGCACCCCTGTCCCAGCCCACCTGCCCCAGAATTTGGAGGTGGCAGTAGCCACCCAAGTGGCAGTGTCTGTGCCAAAGCGGAGACGGAAAATTAAGGAGCTCAGTAAGAAGGAGGCTGTAGGAGACCTTCTAGATGCCTTCAAGGAGGCGAACCCAGGGGTACCAGAGGTGGAAAATCAGCCTCCTGTAGGCAACAATCCCAGCCCAGAGCCTGAGGGCAGCAGTGTGCCCCTGCGGTCTAAGGAAGGAGAGGAGACCTGGGACTCAAAGGAAGACAAGATTCAAAATGCAGAGAACATCCAGCCAGGGGAACAGAAGTATGAATATGAGTCAGATCAGTGGAAGCCTCTAAACCTTGAGGAGAAAAAGCGTTATGACCGAGAGTTCCTGCTTGGCTTTCAGTTCATCTTTGCCAGTATGCAGAAGCCTGAGGGATTGCCCCACATCAGTGACGTCGTGCTGGATAAGGCCAATAAAACACCATTGCGACCGCTGGACCCCTCCAGACTTCAGGGCATAAATTGTGGCCCAGACTTCACTCCGTCCTTTGCCAACCTTGGCCGACCAGCCCTTAGCAACCGTGGGCCCCCAGGGGGTGGGCCAGGTGGGGAGCTACCCCGAGGGCCGGCTGGCCTGGGACCCCGGCGATCTCAGCAGGGCCCCCTAAAGGAACCACAGAAGATCATTGCCACAGTGTCAATGACCGAAGATATAAAACTGAATAAAGCAGAAAAGGCCTGGAAACCCAGTAGCAAGCGGACGGCAGCTGATAAGGACCGAGGAGAAGAGGATGCTGATGGCAGTAAAACCCAGGACCTGTTCCGCAGGGTGCGCTCCATCTTGAATAAACTGACACCCCAGATGTTCCAGCAGCTGATGAAGCAGGTGACACAGCTAGCCATCGATACCGAGGAACGTCTCAAAGGGGTCATTGACCTCATCTTCGAGAAGGCCATTTCAGAACCCAACTTCTCCGTGGCCTATGCCAACATGTGCCGCTGCCTCATGGCGCTGAAAGTGCCCACTACAGAAAAGCCAACAGTGCCTGTGAACTTCCGAAAACTGTTGTTAAATCGATGTCAGAAGGAGTTTGAAAAAGACAAAGATGATGAGGAGGTTTTTGAGAAGAAGCAAAAAGAGATGGATGAAGCTGCTACGGCAGAGGAACGGGGACGCCTGAAAGAGGAGCTGGAAGAGGCTCGAGACATAGCCCGGCGGCGCTCGTTAGGGAATATCAAGTTTATCGGGGAGCTGTTGAAACTGAAGATGTTAACAGAGGCAATCATGCATGACTGTGTGGTTAAACTACTTAAGAATATGATGAAGAGTCCCTTGAATGCCTTTGACGTCTGCTCACCACCACTGGCAAAGACCTGGACTTTGAAAAGGCCAAGCCCCGGATGGATCAGTATTTCAACCAGATGGAAAAAATCATTAAGGAAAAAAAGACTTCATCCCGGATCCGCTTTATGCTGCAGGATGTGCTAGATCTGCGAAAGAGCAACTGGGTGCCACGCCGAGGGGACCAGGGTCCCAAGACAATTGACCAAATCCACAAGGAAGCTGAGATGGAGGAGCATCGGGAGCACATAAAAGTGCAGCAGCTAATGGCCAAGGGCAGCGACAAGCGTCGGGGTGGCCCTCCAGGCCCACCCATCAGCCGTGGCCTTCCACTTGTGGATGATGGTGGCTGGAACACAGTACCCATCAGCAAGGGCAGCCGCCCTATTGACACTTCTCGACTCACTAAGATCACGAAGCCTGGCTCCATCGATTCTAATAACCAGCTGTTTGCACCTGGAGGTCGATTGAGCTGGGGCAAGGGTAGCAGTGGAGGCTCCGGAGCCAAGCCCTCCGATGCAGCATCAGAAGCTGCTCGTCCAGCCACTAGTACCTTGAATCGCTTCTCAGCCCTTCAACAAGCAGTACCAACAGAAAGCACAGATAACAGACGAGTGGTGCAGAGGAGTAGCTTGAGCCGGGAACGAGGTGAGAAAGCTGGGGACCGGGGAGACCGCCTAGAGCGGAGTGAAAGGGGAGGTGACCGTGGTGACCGGCTTGATCGCGCGCGAACACCCGCCACCAAGCGGAGCTTCAGCAAGGAAGTGGAGGAACGGAGTAGAGAGCGGCCCTCTCAGCCTGATGGACTGCGCAAGGCAGCTAGCCTCACGGAGGATCGGGACCGCGGGCGGGAAGCTGTGAAGCGAGAAGCTGCCCTCCCTCCGGTGAGTCCCCCGAAGGCTGCGCTGTCTGAAGAGGAGCTGGAGAAGAAATCTAGGGCCATCACTGAGGAGTACCGCCATCTCAATGACATGAAGGAGGCAGCGCAGTGCGTGCAGGAGCTGGCCTCGCCCTCACTGCTCTTCATCTTTGTGCGGCACGGCATCGAGTCCGCACTGGAGCGCAGCGCCATTGCGCGGGAGCACATGGGCCGGCTGCTGCACCAGCTGCTCTGTGCCGGGCACCTCTCCACTGCTCAGTACCACCAAGGGCTGTATGAAAGTCTAGAGTTGGCTGAAGACATGGAAATTGACATTCCTCATGTGTGGCTCTACCTAGCAGAATCGATAACGCCCATTCTGCAGGAAGGTGGGGTGCCCATGGGGGAGCTGTTCAGGGAAATAACAAGACCTCTGAGACCCCTGGGCAAGGCTGCTTCCCTGTTGCTAGAGATCCTGGCGCTCCTGTGCAAAAGCATGGGTCCTAAAAAGGTGGGGACGCTGTGGCGAGAGGCTGGACTCACCTGGAAGGAATTTCTACCTGAAGGCCAGCATGTCAGTGCCTTTGTCACTGCGCAGAAGGTGGAGTATACCCTGGGAGAGGAGTCAGAAACCCCGGGCCAGAGGTTGTTCTCCTTTGAGGAGCTGCGCAGGCAGCAGTAACCAGCGGGTGTTTGACTGGATAGAGGCCAACCTGAATGAGCAGCAGGTGACATCCAACACATTAGTTCGAGCCCTCATGACAACTGTCTGCTATTCTGCAATTATCTTTGAGTCTTCTCTCCGAGTGGATGTTGCAGTGGTGAAAGCACGAGCGAAACTGCTACTGAAATACCTATGTGATGAGCAGAAGGAGCTGCAGGCGCTCTATGCCCTCCAGGCCCTTGTAGTGACCTTAGACCAGCCCCCTAACCTGCTTGGGATGTTCTTCGACGCGCTGTATGACGAGGACGTGGTGAAGGAGGACGCCTTCTATAGCTGGGAGAGTAGCAAGGACCCTGCTGAGCAGCAGGGCAAGGGCGTGGCCCTAAAATCTGTCACTTTTTTCAAGTGGCTTCGTGAGGCGGAGGAGGAGGAGTCTGACCACAACTGAGGGCGGGTGGGGCCGGGGACTTAGAGCCCCACGGACACTCGGATGGCCAAGCCAGCCGCCTGGACTGCAGGGGTGGGGGGCGGCAGCAGCAGCGGCGGTGGCAGTGGGTGCCTGTAGTGCGATATTGTCTGAGCTAATAAAGTGGCTGAAGAGGCAGGATGGCTTGGGGCTGCCTGGGGCCCCCCCTCCAGATGCTGCCAGCTGTCCCTCTCCTCCCCCTGGGGCACAGAGTTATATTATATATAAAGTCTTGAAATTTGGTGTGTCTTGGGGGGGGCACCACCGCCTGCCCCTTGGGTCCTTTTTTATTTTCTGAAAAACTCTTGGGACTGCCGTCCTCGCTGCTGGGGGCATATGCCCCAGCCCCTGCACCACCCCTGCTGCCTGAGCAGGGGGAAGGGGGGGCACGGTGCCTGTAATTATTAAACATGAATTCAATTACGAAAAAAAAAAAAAGATCTTACTAGACCCACTCCCATAATTTACATTTTAAGATACTAGGATTAGCCAGAAGGTATTCTGAAAGGAGAAACCATCCTCAAGCAGGAAACATTGTTGTTGTATAATCCCTAGTACAGAGATTAAACTGAGTTGTGTAATTGACTAAGACTACAAGATGGGTTCAAGAAAGGACAGAAATGGTATGGACCTAACACAAGCAGAAGATATTAAGAAGAGGTGGCAAGAATACACAGAAGAACTGTACAAAAAAAATCTTCATGACCCAGATAATCACGATGGTGTGATCACTCACCTAGAGCCAGACATCCTGGAATATGAAATCAGGTGGGCCTTAGAAAGCATCACTACGAACAAAGCTAGTGGAGGTGATGGAATTCCAGTTGAGCTATTTCAAATCCTGAAAGATGATACTGTGAAAGTGCTGCGATCAACATGATAGCAAATTTGGAAAACTCAGCAGTGGCCACAGGACTGGAAAAGGTCAGTTTTCATTCCAATCCCAAAGAAAGGCAATGCCAAAGAATGCTCAAACTACCACACAACTACACTCATCTCACACGCTAGTAAAGTAATGCTCAAAATTCTCCAAGCCAAGCTTCAGCAGTACGTGAACCGTGAACTTCCAGATGTTCAAGCTGGTTTTAGAAAAGGCAGAGGAACCAGAGATCAAATTGCCAACATCCACTGGATCATCAAAAAAACAAGAGAGTTCCAGAAAAACATCTATTTTTGCTTTATTGACTATACCAAAGCCTTTGACTGTGTGGATCACAATAAACTGTGGAAAATTCTGAAAGAAATGGAAATACCAGACGACCTGACCTGCCTCTTGAGAAACCTATATGCAGGTCAGGAAGCAACAGTTAGAACTGGACATGGACCAACAGACTGGTTCCAAATAGGAAAAGGAGTATGTCAAGGCTGTATATCGTCACCCTGCTTATTTAACTTATATGCAGAGTACATCATGAGAAATGCTGGGCTGGAAGAAGCACAAGCTGGAATCAAGCTTGCTGGGAGAAATATCAATAACCTCAGGTATGCAGATGACACCACCCTTATGGCAGAAAGTGAAGAGGAACTAAAGAGCCTTTTGTTGAAAGTGAAAGAGGAGAATGAAAAAGTTGGCTTAAAGCTCACCATTCAGAAAACTAAGATCATGGCATCTGGTCCCATCACTTCATGGCAAATAGGTGGGGAAACAGCCGAAACAGTGTCAGACTTTATTTTTGGGGGCTCTAAAATCACTGCAGGTGGTGATTGCAGCCATGAAATTAAAAGACACTTACTTCTTGGAACGAAAATTATGACCAACTTAGATAGCATATTAAAAAGCAGAGACATTACATTGCCAAAAAGGTCCATCTAGTAAAGGCTATGTTTTTTCCAGTGGTCATGTATGGATGTGAGAGTTGGACTGTGAAGAAAGCTGAGCAGCGAAAAATTGATGCTTTTGAACTGTGGTGTTGGAGAAGACTCTTGAGAGTCCCTTGGACTCAAAGAGATCCAACCAGTCCATCCTAAAGGAGATCAGTCCTGGGTGTTCATTGGAAGGACTGATGCTGAAGCTGAAACTCTAATACTTTGACCACCTGATGTGAAGAGTTGACTCATTGAAAAAAACCCTAATGCTGGGAGGGATTGGGGGCAGGAGAAGGGGATGTCAGAGGATGAGATGGCTGGATGGCATCACCGACTCAATGGGCATGAGTTTGAGTGAACTCCAGGAGTTGGTGATGGACAGGGAAGCCTGATGTGCTGCAATTCATGGAGTCGCAAAGAGTCAGACACGACTGAGCGACTGACAGTGGTACCCCACTCCAGTACTCTTGCCTGGAAAATCCCATGGACAGAGGAGCCTGGTGGGCTGCAGTCGATGGGGTCGCTAAGAGTTGGACATGACTGAGCGACTTCACTTTCACTTTTCAGTTTCATGCATTGGAGAAGGAAATGGCAACCCACTCCAGTGTTCTTGCCTGGAGAATTCCAGGGATGGGGGAGCCTGGTGGGCTGCTGTCTATTGAGTCACACAGAGTTGGACACGACTGATGTGACTTAGCAGCAGCAGCAGCAAGGAATATAGACAAAAATGTCTGTTCTTTCCTTCTCCTTGAGAATTCCGGACCCCTCTCTTTGGGGCCCCCTGGATTTCTTATCAACCTGCCTAGGAGTTGACTCTCTCAATAACTACCTACATAATTACTCTTAATGGAACTCTGTTTTTTCCTGTGGCTTTGAATTACTATCTTTCACTTGTTTTCAGTCTGCAGAACTTCTTTTAATATTTCTTTTAAGGTAGATCTACTTGCAACAGATTCTCTGTTTTTCCTTATCTGGAAATGGCTTTGTCTCACTCTCAGTTTTGAAAAACAGTTTTGCTAGGCATAACAGTCTATGTGTGACAATTTTTGCTTTTAGTGTGTTGAATGTCATCCCACTGCCTTCAGACTTCTTTTGTTTATGATGAGCAGTCAGTTTGATGTTATGATCCCTTTTCTCTTGTTCTTTTCAAGATTTCTCTTTGTTTTTCAACCTTTTGTCTGTGATTGGTCTGGGTGTTTCGCCCTTGGCACTTATTTTACCTATAGTTTGGTGAGGTTCTTGGCTGTAGTATGTGCTTATTTTTCATCAGTTTTGGGGGGGTTTTAGCCTTTGTTTCCTTAATTGTCTCTCTTGCTTTCCTCTCTCTGTGGTAGTCCTATTGCATGCATGTACATTGGTGTTCTTAATGGTCTTCCACATTTCTCTCGAGGATCTGTTAATTTTTCTTATTTTGTTTTCGTTCTTTTCATGTCTTTTTAAAAAACTATTGCTGAAGTATAGTTGATTTACAATGTTGTGCATATATATATATGTATATATACACATATATATATATACCCTTTCATACTTTATTCCATTATGGTTTATTATAAGACACTGAATATAGTTTCTTGTTGTGTACTGTAGGATCTTGTTGTTTGTCTATCTTATGTATAACAGCTTACATCTGCCAGTTCCAAATTATCAATCAAACCCTCCTTCACTCCTCTCCCTGGGCAACCACAGGTCTGTTCTTTATATCTGTGAGTCTCTTTCCATTTCATAGATGGGTTCATTTGTGTCATATTTTAGATTCTAAATGTAAGTAATATCATATGATATTTGCCTTTGTTTTTCTTTTCTTTTTTTATTTCACTTAGTATGATAATCTCTAGGTCTGTTTATGTTGCTGCAAGGTGGCATTATGTTATTCTTTTATATGGCTGAGTAATATCCTTTTATATACATAAATCACATTTTCTTTATCCATTCATCTCTTCATGAACATTTAGGCTGTTTCCATGTCTTGGCTGTTGCAAATAGTGCTGCTGTGAATATATGAAGCCTGTGTCTTTTTGAATTATAGTTTTATCTGGGTATATGCCCAGGAGTGGGATCGCTGGATCATATGGCAACTCTAATTTTAGTTTATTGAGGAGCCTACACTCTGTTTTCCATAGTGGCTGTACCGATTTACATTCCCACCAAGCATGTAGGAGGGTTTCCATTTCTCCACACCCTCTCCTGCATTTGTTATTTGTAGACTTTTTAAAAATAATTTATTTATTTACTTATTTATTTTTGGCTGTGCCAGGTTTTCGTGGCTGCGTGGGCTTTTCTCTGGTTGTGGTGAGCAGGAGGTTCCTCTTTCGTGTGGTGAGTAGACGTCTTGCTGCGGGGTCTCACCTCACTGCTGAGCATGGGCTCCAGGGCGCACAGGCCTCGGTCGTTGCACCTGAGCCGAGTAGTTTTGGCCCCTGGGCTCTAGAGCACAGGCTCAATAGTGGTGGTACACAGGCTTAGTTGCTCTGTGGCATGTGGGATTCTTCCAGCCCAGGAATCAAACCCATGTTTCTAGCACTGGAAGGCAGATTTTTTTTTTTTTTTTTACACTAGTGAACCACCAGGGAATCCCCTATTTGTAGACTTTTTAGTAATGGCCATTCAAACTGGTGTGAGGTGGTACCTCAGTGTTGTTTTGATTTGCCCTTCTTAATAATTAATGATGATGAGCAACTTTTCGTGTGTCTATTGGCTCTGTATGTATTCCTTAGAGAAATGTCTATGTAGGTCTTCTGCCTAGTTT